ACTGGCACGTCTGCCATTAGATAGGAGCTTCGTGCTCAACTTAGTTATCAATCTTATCATATTAGTTTGACATCTTTGATACAAGTAACGAGTTCACTTCCAAGTGAACAACCCGATAGTCTTCTTCTTATCATAGCATACCAACCAGCGAACACCCAGCCAAGTTTAGTTAGCCAGTTTGAGTATTCGTTACAAAAGGTCTATTCCTTAGTATTGTTTCTACTGACATAAGTAATACTATCTTTGTACTTTTATACCTACTATCGAATAGTATATATTCGCCTAAATAGGTCGAATAAACTTATAGCTAGGGGTAATAATAATTAAAGGCGTAACTCTAGTAGTATTTAGCTATAAAGAACCGAGAAGACCCTAGATAATCGACTCTAAAAAGACCTAGTAGCTATAATAATACTTGTTTATACGCCTAATATACTAAGGCTCTAATTCTATACACTAGAGAATATACGTATTTAATATTATTATATTAAGTATCTAAAACTAGTATAGTATCTAATTACGCCGAGTTATCTATTAGTAAGTTAAGTTTACCCTTAATTAATCTATTAGGTCTACCCCTAGTATATTATAGTTATAATCGTCTATAAGTTTAATTATTAGTAATATAAGTCTAGAAGAGAAGAAGCGTTTTATAATTTTACGCTTATCTATTAGCGGAAGTTCGAATATTCGATAGGTTATTATTTTTATACTTACTAAGTCTTTTAGCTTACGTCTAAGACAAATAACATATCCTATATAATTATAAACGGTTATTATTAGTTATATAATATTCTAATCTTACTAAATAATAAGAACAACTATTTCCCCGCCTTCCTTATAGTAGTAGATAGATCTAACTTCTCCCTAGCTTATCAACTTACTATTATTCTTATTTACTATCTTATTCTTAAAATAACCTCTTATTCTATTCTATCGCCCTATACTAACTACTCTAATACTATAGGCTTATAAGATCGAGAAAAGCTTATAGGTTATAAAAAGATTATCTATAAATATTATAAAAAGATAACTAAGATACGCTTATTAAAAGTAGAATACTAAATATAAGACGCTAGTAGTAGTAGATAAGAGAGTTAGGTAAAGCTCTCGGGTATCTTTAATTTCTGATATTCCTAGGTAATTAGTTAGTAAGTTTAAGCTAATTAAGGTACTTAAAAAGTACTTACTATACTAAATTAGGTTAAGCGCTTACGTGTAAGGGGTAATACTAAAATATCTACCTACCCCTTATACTTATATATTTTCTAAAGACTTCTTTGTAAATAATACTACTATATAATAATTATATAGAATCCGAACGTACTATAAGAACCTAAGTAATATAGCTAATCGAGTACGTATCTCCTTTAATATAAGGCCTATAGTTTATAGCTATCCGGATATAGTTTTCCTAGGTATTTTATAAGATACTAGCTTCGACCCTAATATAGATATATTATCTTATTATATAATACCTTAGACCCTAGTATTAAAAGAAGCTAAAAAACCTCTTATAAATAGACGTCTAAAGGGTTTAATTTCTAATATTAATCTTTATTTATAAGATGATTTTATTTATTCTTAATAAATAAGATTTTAAAGAAGCCTTTTGTAACGAATACTCAAACTGGCTAACTAAACTTGGCTGGGTGTTCGCTGGTTGGTATGCTATGATAAGAAGAAGACTATCGGGTTGTTCACTTGGAAGTGAACTCGTTACTTGTATCAAAGATGTCAAACTAATATGATAAGATTGATAACTAAGTTGAGCACGAAGCTCCTATCTAATGGCAGACGTGCCAGTCTTATATAGAATCTTCTTGCTCGTTGATCATTATGATCACCCTGATCCCACTGATCCAGCTCAGCGTTGCTCAGTTGATCACCAATGATCAATGACGGTCACATGACTTCTATCAGATGAAATCCCTGGATCGCTTAGCTAGCCTAAGCATCCCTATTTGCTATAAGAGTGTGTTGATGGTGCTTAACCTGTCAGGACGCCGCCTGGTCTTTACTTATCACATGCCAACACGTGATTCGTGACACCTTTTATAAGATAGTATCTAGCCTACGATATATATAGAACTAGGGATTTTATAGTAGGTTTCTCTTAATACGCTTTTAGATAGTTTATACCTATATAACTAAGAACTAATAGGATAGATATATATATCTTAATATCTTATATAGTAGTAGGTTTTTATAAGTTACTTTTATATAATAATAGATTAGCTAATAACGTTACTTTAGTATGTTAATTAGTATATAAGGATAACTTTTTTAATATTTTAACTAGAAATATTAATTTAAAAAAGGATATTAGATCTTTAATATTATAAGAACTTAGGAGGTTAGTCTTTGTATAATATACTAGATTTAGTATATCTATTAGCTTAAAATTAGTTATAATTCTCGCCGAGTTTATTACTATCTTATACGCCTTCTATAGGTACTTTTACTAACGATTAGTTATTACACTAAATAATACTATATCCGAATTAAGATCTCTATTTATAATCTATAATTAGTTATAAAAATCGTTATTAAACTAGTATAGTAACGATTTAAGTAGTAAATTATTAAATAGTAGGGGTGTTCTTAGGGATTCTATATAGCGGTTTTATCTTATTATAGCTTACCTACTTATTTATATATATTAGTTTAGTATAAAGGAATTTCGAATAAGTATATATAGGTGTTTTTCCGAGCGCGCTAGGGTAACGAGGATAGTATTCTTAGTTGGGGGGCTCTTTTTCCTACGTTCCTAGTAGAGTAGCAAAGTACTATAGGTAAGGTAGCTAGGTTTATAGAATTTATACTATTTTATAGTATATTTAACGTAGATAGTACTCGGTTTAGTATAGTAATATTCCGAATAGGAGGGGAGGATAGAATATTGATACTACTAAATTAAGGTAGAGTTCTAAAGCCTAGAGAGCTTAATAACTCGGAAGAGGATAGCGAATCCGGAGGAGTACTAGAGTAACGTATATTAGTTAATTAAGTAATAATAGACGATTTTATAAGGGAAAAAGAAAGTAATAATTTCTATAGAATCTTTAGGTATTTCTCTTACTATTTATATGCGTCGTCGCTATATAATTTTCTATAGTAGGAGGTATAGCGGTTAGAGAATATTCTTAATACCCTTATTACCGCGTTTTTACGTGTTACGGTATAAGGTTCCTAGATCTATATAAACCTACTTTCTAAGTATTTAAGCCTTAATTGTACTTAGTTATTATATCCACTTTGCGTGCACGTTTTGCACATACCTCTCGCATCTGGAAGGGATATCCATCCACATATTCCCTAGTAATAGTCCATGACGACCCATAAGCTTAGAAAGGCTTGATGAAAACTTAGACTAATTTACTAGCCATTATCTCACCTCTCTGGCAATTTCCCTTTTCTCTTCCTCTGTCTTTCTTTCTTCTATCAAAGTTTAATATATACAACCCCAGGAACGACCAACTCGTATTGTCAAGACCTACTGAACTTTGCTTTTGCCTTCTATCTTGAGAACAAACATCTCTACCACTGGACTCTTGAAATGTAACCGTTATATATGTTTCTCCACTTTTCTCCTAAGTACTAACTCTTTATAATAATAAGAGGTCTAGTATCTGTTGATTTGGGAAGTGGGAAAGAAATTGCCAGGGAGAATTACTAAAAAGGGGATTACGTAATTATAGGTAGCAAACACTATAAGCAACATGAAATGGAAACCTTGAAATCTATTTCCCGTATCAAAATAGAAATTTCTAGAAGTGTTCCTGTAAGAGGCGTAAAATAGATCTGCTGATCACAAAATTGTAGCGTAACATAACTGCCTACTAGAAGGAGCTCACATGGGAAATATCGGGAAAGGTTCTAGTCATCCATCTATTGCGCGACTAATTTTCATATTCTTCAATTGAAGGGGCACTGGTGGGGGTATAAAATTATCCTCAAGACGTTACTGCACCAAAGCACGCGAACCAGAAAGTTCTTTGTCAAGATCATCCCATCTTCCTCCCCGTAAGCGATCCAGAACTCGAAGTTTGGACAACCACAATTTACAATCTTCAGTCTCATCTTTGTCAAGTTGACGTTGCTCCATTTGACTCAAGGACATGGTGTACTCTATCAGAGCATCATAAATCCATTTACAGTCGTCTGCATCCTCAAGCATTTCTTTCAGTATGGAGAGCTGTCGCGTTAGATATCCAATACGATCTTCTTGTGTGAAATTAGATGTGATTGTGGCGTGCCGAACACTATCTGTCAGAGTTGTCATCAAAAATTGATAGTAGAACCAGACAGATTGGGCGTAGGGAAAGGCGTCTGTGTACATGGCGGTTATAATTGTGTCAAATTCTGCGTCAATGTCAGCCTTGGCTTCGTGGGCCTCCAACGAACTTCTTACCATCATCCAAAAATTGGCGTCTTCCCGCATCATCTGTCCCACGCTCATTCAGCAACTTTGGTATCAGCTTGCTGCGTCTGTGCCATGCTGAAAAGTTGGAGAGACCATCCTGGCCACGAATGACCTTTGTGGTATATTCAAATTCCACCTCAACCATACTCGTTCCTTGCAAGTGTTGGCTCTCGAGCTCGTCCACGACGATTCTTCTATAACGCCATCCGTGAAAGTTCCGGCTATCTCTGACCAGCATTTTCCCAACGAGTGTGAGCTCCTGAGTCCATAATTTTCTTGCCGTGATTGGATCCAGCCGCTTATTTGCTTCCTGCAATAGCCACAGTCGGTAATTCCATAGCCAATAACATTTGGGCCATCCCACCATTATTGGAAACAAAAATTCCAAGTCTGCTTTGATCAAATCAAGAGTTGTACCATTCTTCCCAGGATTCTGGGAGCTGGGGTCGGGTAGGGCCGTATTCGACGCCTCTGAGGAGGTAGTAACAGAGTCTGAGGGTTGCGTAGAAGAGACTGGTGTAGTGTCGATCCGCGAAGTACTCGGCGACACCTTCGAGGGCGACGATGAATCCGAAGATTTGGAGAATAATCCGTAGATTAGTAAACGGCGGCGGACGTTCCATATTGTGTAGTATTCTGGATTTGCTTTGAGGAGTTTGGATGTGAGATTCAGGACTTCAACTGTGTACTGGCGCTCTGCGACCTGCTGGAAGTTAGCCCCAGCACAGTAGAAAGTTGGACACGCGTGAATGTGCCCACCTTGGTCCTTATGAGGTCCTCCAAGTCTCTATACTCCTGGATCTTTCGGTGCTCCTCTTGTAGTTGCTCCTCCGTCCTCTGCACACTCGCTGCGGGGCGCGCAATCCCATGCTATGTTGGCATCAGCCCATGATCCGGATGGACAGCGGCGAGAGCAGCATACGCTTGCCATTGTTTGTTCCTTACCTGCGGATGATGGAGGATCTGGATGAGAAGCCAGATGTGCTGCAACGAGATTGGGGAAGCTACCATATGCCAGAATACCTATCGTGGGTCGTTGGGCGACGGAAGGAGCGAGTCAGAATCTACGCCAAGCGATCACCAACTGATGTCATGTAAGGTTCGAGCTGCCGTACCAAGTGAAGCTCCTCAACCACCTCTCACTCCCTCGGAATTTCTTCTTCCTACAACTTCACACGCATGAATGTCCACACATCCACATCGCACTTTGTATACTTACGGACTTACAATAGGTTCAGTCACTCTTCCCAGTATCATTGCCCGGAATCAATTATCCAGAGCCTGCCCCAAGGCCGCCAGGTGCAACCACCACCATCACCAAACATCAAACGACAAACGCCAGCAGATTGATCGTTGTCGTGACTGTGACACTCCTTCTCTTTGCGACCACCAGACCCATTAGACTACCCAGGATATTGCTACTTCTCTTTTCAGCCAATTTGTTTCTATTCTCCTTTCACTCTCCGTTCATTCATTTCTTCATTTTCCATCATTTCCATTTCTTCCAATCCTCTGCGGCCAGGCGAGAAGCCATTGCTTGCCGTGGAATATCAGCAGCCTCGAGCAGGTTCGCTTGTTTTCCGTCCCAGAATGTCGGATTTCATGCTCAATGTGGCCTGTGATACTCCTCGTAATCCAGGAAGCCCTACAGACTCTGGCTATGACTCTGTCTCTCCAACTAGGCCTCCCAGGAGACTTGTTGCTTTGGACTTTGACACTCCGGAGGATCTGGGCTACATTTCCAATTCCGGCTCACCAACAAGAATTGTTCTAGGGAAACGTCGAAAGCCCGCCAACTCCAACCAGCCATGTGAGTTTTCACTTTGAAGGATATGTCCAGGTCGGTTGATTGACTATGCTTCCAGCAGCCATAAGCAATTTCCAAGACGACTTCCACTCGAGTTTTGTCAAGCAAAGATATGACGGACCTTCAGATGAATATCAACTCCCCACTGCTGCGACGTTGCCACGCACGAAGCCTCGGTCAGTGTTCCGTCGTCGACCGCAACTCTGCACATATGACTCTGCCACCTCACAAAAGTTGACGGGATCTCTCCGAAGCCCAGACCGTTTTCTACCTGCTCGTAGATCAGCGATGGATTTTGCAACGCAAACTTTCCGTTCCAATAAGGATCCTAAAAGCCTGACCCTAGATGAGAAACTGCTCAGGAATAAAGAAGCTAGTTTTGACGCCTTTAATCCCCGGAGAAGCGTCACTTCACCAATACCCCTCGCTAATCGACCAGCAGCCAGACGTAATGTGTCCGCGAATCGAAGTGGTGGTGGTGGTAAGCTTTTTTTCTTGACTTCGGGATTCTGCTAAGAACCATTCAGGTGCGAGTGTGCTCACATTTCATAGAGAGCCTGCGTCACCAAATGGCGAGCGACAGGTGAGTAGAAAAGTGCATTCAGTGGCGATCATGGAAACTTCACAGAACCGCATAATAATCTCGGTCCAATTTCCATAGCTCTATATATATCGAAAGTGATCCCATTTCCCACCCTGGCTTCTTCGTGACAACGGATCCATTGCCCCAGAATGCTGACTTTTACAGGTCAGTGTCGGTACAGTGTGGTCAGTTGGAGGCCTAGCGCCTTACACATCCGGAGTTTCGAATGGCAGAGGGCGCCTTCTCGGGAGTGGAACCAATGCCCCTTTATACACTACATCATTCTCTGCTGCTAAGCCAAAGGCCCAAGAAGACTCAGAAAAACATGAAGGGCGATTGGCAGAGGCGCTGGAGTTGGATAGAGTTTCAAGAGTCTTCGAGTTTCGAGAACGCACCACATCCCCTCAACGGCCATCAGCATGTGCCCGAACTGATTCTAATGTGGAACAAAAGACAGTATGGAAAGGGACAGAATGGATAATGAATTCCCAAGATCAAAGTAGGTACACTTTGGGTGTCATTGGCTAGAATCCGCAGGGTTAACCTATAACTCTAGAGACCCGTGTCACCCAAGAAGTTCGTAATCTTCCAATGGCTCCTTTCAAGTGGGTTTTATTGGCCTAATCAATTAGTCTCCTTGTTACTAATGAACAGTAGAGTTCTTGATGCCCCCAATCTCCGTGACGACTTCTACTGTTCCGTCTTGGCGTACTCTGCAACTTGCCATACGCTGGCCGTAGGACTTGGTGCTCTTTTGTACGCATGGTCTGAGATGCAAGGGGTTCATTTGCTCAATGGAGGGACTATCAATGGCTCATGGATAACTTCCCTCGCGTTTTCTTCTTCTCAAGGAGGGAAGTGCATTCTTGCCTCCGGTCGATCGGATGGTACTCTGAGTCTCATGTCTCTATACGACAGCATGGTTCCACGATTTGAAATACAGCAGCCATGCCCAGTGGCATGTGTCACATGGCGACCGACCGTGACAATGCGACCTTCTCGATGCCCAATGTCGTCTAACATGTCGGTCAAAACGGAGGATCTGCTCGTTGGAGATGAAGTCGGAAATGTTTACTATTATTCTGTTGAATGGCCCGAAAACTGGGAGATTTCTCGAACGGCATGGTCAGGATCAATGACCCTTATTGCCAAGATATCTATTCATACTCAGCAAATTTGCGGTCTATCATTTAATACCGATGGCAGTCTTTTCGCCACGGGTGGAAACGACAATCTTTGCTGCTTGTTTCAATCCAATGTTGTTTTGAACTCTCCAAATGCTAATGACAGGGATGGGCAGGAGGTGTTTACCGGTGCTGATGGAATTCGGCGCATGCATACCGTTTCAGGGCAGACATCCGTCAGAGAAATCACTTCTGGTGCTGAAAAACACCGGTGGACACATGGAGCTGCGGTCAAGGCCATTGCATTTTGTCCCTGGCGTGAAGGACTGGTAGCAACTGGAGGTGGCAGCAACGACAAATGCATACACTTCTTCCACACGTCATCTGGAGCGTGCCTTGCTACAATCAGTGTTGCTGCCCAAGTCACTTCCCTGATCTGGTCAACCACTCGACGAGAAATCGCAGCAACTTTCGGCTATGCACAACCTGATCATCCTTACCGAATCGCGGTCTTCTCTTGGCCTGAATGTAAGCAAGTAGCCGCAATTCCTTGGGAAGGTGAGCACCGTGCTTTGTTCGCGATATCATATCCAGGCGGTCCAAATGAGAGCCAGACTAGCCGGGAAGGTGGTCGTGGATTAAGTCGAACTGCCAAGGAGGGATGTATAGTTGTTGCTTCTAGTGATGAGAGTGTCAAGTTCCATGAAGTCTGGACGGCTAGTCAGAAGGCGACGGCAGGTGGCGAAGGACTACTAGGTGGAAGTGATATCTTAGAGTCGTTGGAAGGAATAGATAAGGAAGGTGAGGTTATTCGGTAGGTTGAAAGGTTGAAAGTTGCAAGCGTAGATGGTTGTGATGTTTGTGGAGATGGTGTTATGATGCTACTGTTGTTGGAAGGTTTAGACTGGACTGGCTGATACCCCCATACATGAATAGATTCTCTTGCCGTTTGTTGAATTTCATTCTTTGGTGGTTCTGGATGAGTAATCTGATACGTCTGCCTACTTCCTTTACAGAGGTTGGGGAGCGGTCTATTCTTCTTTTTCTTCTTCCTGCTTTTGGGGCTGGACTTGTTGTGCGTTGACGCGATATAGGGGAGCGGTGGTGCTCCTAAATATCTGGCCAATAAGGTTCACGGAAATTCTTGAAAGTTGTATTATGAGGAACATGTCTACGGCAGTAGAGGTGGTTCTTATGAGTTATCGCAACTCAATTTCTGTCCCTTCAAACGGCTCACTCGAAGAAATGGGCAGATTATCGAATAAAAGATTTATAAAAAAAAAAAAAAAGAGATGGAAACAGAGATTTTTTGGTGGATGTTCTCCCGGGTTAGAGCCTACTACCGGAACATCATTACGATGGCTTTCACGTGACAGCGCCCTCGCCACTACTTCATTCCTCTGCTTCAAGGTACAGTTGTCTTAATTCAGAATATCAACAACAATTTGGATTTGTGGGGTGGCCTCACGTGACTTTGAAAGGTTTGGGGATGGGATGGGATACTTTTGGTGTGGTGCTGGTGTTGAAGCAGCGTCCGTATGAGTAGAGTAAATTGTATGGGAATAGCAGACGTCGGCGGTGTAGTGAGCTGAGGGAACGAGGGCTATATCACATTTTTTGTTGATTTGGTGACACTATCTATCAATTCCGTTGCGTAGGTGGAGGGTTGACAGTCACCTCGCTCTTGGGTGGTATGGTATGCTTTTTGGTGGTATGGAGGACTTTCTGGTTAGAGAGGGATGTCGTAGGGGGAATTTGGATAGGGAGCTGGGGAGTTGGGGGTGCTTTGTGTTTTGTATTAGGTGGTTGGAGGAGAGTGGTTGTTGGGGCCTTGATTATTATAGTAGACGTGGTCTTGCGAGTTCTGCTTCTTGGCTGAAGAGCTGAGTATTTGATGAGATGTTGAGCATTGCGTATCTAGGGATTGGGTATAGGATGAGGTAAGGGTGTTATCGTAGAGGAAGTATTGTCGTTTTTTATTGATGGATAGAGAGGATGTTGGATATTGAATACAGTACCTTAATTATTCCCGGATTTTCTTCCACGCGATACTGAGGATTTTGTAAGTATATTGTGTAAAGGATATTTCTAAGCCCCTTGTAAATTGAAACATTATTTCGTGTAAGTACGCTCTATGAATCTATGGAATTATAGGATTCTTGTCGGTATTACTTAGTGCGCGTATAAGTAGTCGGTAGGTAGAGGTAGTTAGTTCTATCTAAGGAGATATTTACAAGGCAAAACATCTCTGATCATGCCCTCATCTAGTAATCTTTGCCATATAAGTGTTACTAACCCTTGTTTCCCATTGGTGTAAAAATCCCATTTTCAACGTTATGTTAAGATTAGCTTACACCTTTCTTCTAGCCCACCGCATGTGATATGGGTCTAAACAAGTCTCTTCTATCAGACATTCATGCTTCTCTTTCACTTCGCGGTTGAGGTATTCAATCCCAGACCCACAAAATTTGGGACGAGTGTTGTTACGACCAAGGACAATAACAGGAGTTATAGTGTTTCCACCACGTTCCAATCTTTCCTTGAGGATAGCAGCGCCGCTTTCACATTTTACGGTCCCAAGATCGTAATAGACTTTTCTGAGGTTGGAAAAGTGGCTGAAGTCGTAATCAGCCCTCAAAAAGTTGTCAATAGGGTGTTTGTCCATAACTGTGTGGTGAAAGTATATATGTTGGAGGGGTTTAAGCTCTGGCTGGGTGAGGAGAGCTAGAACAAATTAAATTAATGCTAGAAGTGGAAGTGGGCAATACTTACGGAAACGTAGAGCCTGCACAATGTCTTGTTCCATTGAGATGTAGACTGGCCTTGCGCTCTGGCCGTTCACGATGTTGCGGCACAGCTTGTAGGTGGGGTGGTCCTTTTGAACGCCATCCTGGTGTAGAAATTCTTCACGGGATTGTTGGCATACCTGGAGAACTGCTGGAACGGGTCGGTTGTAATAGTACAGACGCTTCAGGGTTGGAGTTGGGATGCAAGTATGGTTGTCCTTGCATACCACTATGACCAATTAGAGGTTGTTTTTCTTTGGAGTCGTTTGAAGCAAGGAAAAGCAGAGAAGTGTGGTTTTTTAGTAGCGGTTGAAATTAAAACACTGGAGGGGATAATGGAAATAGATGACTACTTACAATAGTACGCAGGAGGAGAGGCGAAACCCCAAATTCGTAATTGTATCTCTGTCGGCAACTCGGGAAATAAGGTAAACTTAGTCAAGGGTAGTGATGACGAGGCGACAGAGAGGTTGATCAGACGAGAGAGACGCTTTGGACGTGGAGTGGCCATTGATGTTATCTCACTTTGGCAGCTACCCTTTTATAAAGGCTTTTGGTGGTGAGGCCGCCACGTGACCCCTCCCCCACTCCACCTAACCCCCTTGCCTAGTCCCTATACAGACCCCAGCCCGCCATCAGCCTACACCCCACCTACTTCTAGCGCTTATTTTACTTTATTTATGTAGTCTCATTTTACGTAGTAACGGCGATACTTTTAACTTTTAACAACCAACTTTAAAGTTATTACGTATAGAAAGAAGTAAGTTTCGAAAACTCTGTACACACCTCTCTTACTATAATATTACCTATTCTAAAATCCTTATATAACTAAAATACTCATATAAATTGCCTGCAGTAAATGTTAAATCTTACTTCTGATTTGCTTAGGTATCCTAAGATAATTATTTTACTTGTGTAAGAAGTTTGGAATAACAACTTTTTGTATAGTGTCTACGGAGTAATGACCAGGTATATCTTACAAGCTGTAGACTACTAACCTCGTACTCCATACCGGCTTTTATCTTGTGAGACCTATAATTCTCTTGAACTTTCTACCATTGTCGAAGCCCGGTACTCTGTTGAAGCACTTGCTTCCCTAAGTAACCCCCGCGGCTTCGTCTTTCTTACAGTATTGTGGGACGATTAAAGTACGAATTACCCGCTTGATCGATCCTAAGCGGGTGTTTTTAACCAATTGCCCGATTTGAATCAGAAAGACTACTCAAGAATCTTCTAGGAAACGACTTTCATTTTTCAGGAGTGGCTGCACTAAACATTGTGAAAACAATAGGTAAAGACATGAGCCCGCTCCTCCCCACCCCCTCTGGTCATTTACCGACGCGACATGTCACTTACTTGGGGCTGGATATATTACATTGCTATGGGAATAGTAAGGGATCAACAAATGGATAACAATTCCGGAATTGTGCTCATAAAGAGCCACATAACTGACGTGGATTTGTATTTGGATATCGGAATATGCCTATAGAGAACCAACAGTTTGAACTTTGAAACAGTATACTTAGTTAGAGACTGAATTAGTGACGCTAGGGTTGTGTCTTTCGCTTTTTCTGGTAATGATTGTTACTGCACAAGTACTCCCAGCTCTTTCGTTTTTCTGCTAGTACTGTACGTTATATAGAAGGCGCTTCTCTTATTATAAATGCTTAATTTAGTCAGACAACTCCTTTACTGTATTAGAGCTGCTACCGTCTCTAACTCGCTTCTCTCTCTATGCTTAATTTATTCATACATCGTTCCTGGTCTTCTCTGACACTTGGTTGCACAGAGTCATGACGACGTCTCTTACTAGCTAGAGTTGAGGATTGGTTTTGCTTAGTTCACTTGTAGCTTGATTGTTTAGGTACGGGCTTATATGTTTTATGTCGTTGAAGAGGTCAATTTAGAGAAATCTTGACTAATCCCTTCGCCTATCTGGTTGTGAATACAAGGGGTTCTTGATACTTAGTCTCCCCTACCAACCCCTTCTTGGTGTAGTGAGACAGTCAAACGATCCTTCTGATGCTTCTCGATCTTCAAGTATGTCTCAACCACCTCACAGCGTGAGGAGATCTGTTGGAGTCTCTTCTCAACAGATTTTACGAACGCTTTCTTCTTGTCGGCCGTACTCTTTTCCGAAAAAGTTAGGTAGACCTTTTGAAGACACTTCAGTCTGCTCATCTCTCTGTTACGTAAGAAAGTGTCTGGAGTATCAATTTCAACATCGAAAACTTGTGAGAGAACATTCTGAGCTTTTAGAAGGTATGGTACTCGGTTTAGGTTCGCCAGAACTTGGGAAAATCAGTTAAAGTACTACAGTTCTTTTCGATTGTATACTACTTACAAGGGTCCAAGAATATATCATGCTCTACTGAGACAAACATCATCAGGCCTGGACAGGAGTCAGGGTATATGTGGGGTGTTCTCTAGTGACATCTTCACTATGAAGAAACTCCTGCCGCGAGTCTTTGTATGCATGGAGTACAGCAAGGACGGGTATTCTGCGACGGGTATACTCCCCCCAACGGTGGTCATAGGATACTATAATTACGGCGGCAGGTGGCGTGCAAAAGGACCAGATCCGAATTTGAAGTTCAGGCGGAAGATTTGGAAAGAGATGAAACTCCTGAGCTTTGGGGGCGAGAGACTGGCGCTGATCGAGGGCATCGATGGCGCGTTCGAATTATCTGGATCTCTAATTTGTGGATCACTAGTAACTTCGCAGATGTCGTTCATGCTGTGGGCTCCAGCTGCGTAAGGGCTGGGAGAAGGTGGTTTTGGAGAATCCACAGTTGGATTCTGGAGAAACTTTGTTGTACAACTGTGCTTAGGGAGAGAAAAAGTCTTCATAGCGACTGTGACTTGTCCTTCAGTTCTCTTGGCACTGTCGTCCTCTGAGCAGTTCACCAGCGTGGGCAGGTAGCCTTCCTAAGGTGAATGACTATGGATTAATCATACCAGCTTACCTTCACCTTCTATTATACATGATTTGGTAATTCTTTCGCTTTACAGCTGGTGCAGCTGCAATTTGCACCCTTCTTATGCATTTTCCATTTCTATCTATGCTTATAATTTGCACCTTTTCTTCTTTCATGGCACACAATTTTTGCGGGAATAACTTTCCAGCTGCATGGGATAAAGTGACATTATGTTAGCAAAATGAAATACAACATCAGATCAGGGAGATGCATGCCTCTCTATGGGTGTTTATGACTACTAACTTCAGTGAGGGGTACAAAGCATGAGAATGGAAAGACATGAAGCGTAGGAGAGGCAAGCATTGCTCTGTACACGCTATTAAAAGTTATTATATTAAAACTCTAGCACAAGTAACTGAATTGTCCTATTTTATCTAGTACAATAATAATTGAAAAGTAACAATTGTCCTAAACTATTCCTATATAATTGATTTAATTGTGTAAGGTCTTTAGGATAATACTTTTATAACTCAGGTGTGTACAGAGTAATGCCCACCTCTCTTACTTACATTCCATCGCTTTCGACAGACTGACATAACCATCTCAAACAACAAACACAATAAGGCAAGATATAAAGGAAAGGACTCACAAAATTATTGAGCAAAGCACAGGAAATTACAATTAGCCATTGAAGTATAAACCTACCACAAGCTGTCCTCAAACTGGAATACTACCCGTACACTTCCCCTTCACAAGACTCGAGTTCACGCCCACCAGCCCATCAAAGTAAACAAGCACAGCCTCCACAGGAACCATATCCATCGAGCCCAGACTCGGATTCGAACTTCTAAGCGTCTGGCCCTTCCACAAAACACGAACGAAATAGGCACTACGAGCCGCTGCCGTCGACTCCTTTTTATAAAGTTCAAAGACAACTTCTGAGCCCATTCCTGGCCAAACCATTACGTCAAGTTGTAACATGGAAAGAAGTTTAGATATCGATCCATCATGGGCGACGTTATGGCGATAAATCACGTCACTTATTCCCTTCATGGCATCTCGTAGGTGAGCCATGAGTTCGCCTGCCCAAACCCCATACGTGGCAACACTGGCTGCTAAGCTTCGAGAGTCGTCCCTGTAAGTGTACGAATATTCATAATTTCCTAGTCGATAAACCTCATCTGCAGTAGTTTGGGTGACACAGGTTGTTGAGTTGACTCCATTGACAAGTTTGCATGGCAAAGGCTTATTGTGACATTGTCTGGCTGAGAGGTTGTCATAATAATGGTCGAAACTGGCGTGAAATCCAGAATCTGTTTGTGACACGCCGGAGATATCATCAAGTTTAGCGTAAAGAGAGGATGCTGCGGTCAGATGTTCAGTCCAATTCGGTCCAGATCTGATGGCCGAAGATATAGCTGAGCCAGCGGGACAAGGATATTGAGGTTCTAGCGAATCTGCACCTGCGGGCTTGAGAAAGTGTTATTTTTTGCTATGTAAGAAGAGCTGGTGAGAATTTACTTGAATTGCCAATGGATATTCGCACTCCGTTTCAAACATTCCATTTATCACCATACCTGACGAGTTGAAGTTAGTTCTGCACGCTTCTAATCCAAATATAAATAAAGAAACGTCATTGCCTTACCCGCGACCTCACTCGTAATCACATTCTGCGTGACTCTAAACACCACCTTCTCATCAGCATCATCGGGGAGAAAGCCCAGGAGGTCATGATAGACTTCATATAAATCTTTCCCGTGCTGCCAAGAATCTTCGAGTCCTTTCGCTGTAATCTGCGGAAACTGACAGCTTCCAAGAAAACCGGAAGGCTTGAATGGGTTTTGGAGTGAAAGATATCCCTCCCAATAGGCTGGGGCCGATCTCTTCCCATTCTTAGGTTGTCCATAGTAGAACAATCCTTCATCGCCACAGTCCCACCCGTATGATTCTACAGGAAATGAATTTGAGGCGTACACTGTCCGTTTATGATGACGATGAATCTTCGATGCATTAGAATATATTTCGCCTTCAATTGAATGAAGTGACGGTGGAGATGAGGGGCTGAGCTCACCACTTCTACATATTGAAGACTGTATTCCGGCAGTGCCCTCTTGTACTCCGTTGCACGAACATGAGGCATATTGCACCAATTGTAATCACCATACCGTTCTGCAGGAGTCACAGAACTATTATAAATGAATCCATAAACACCACTCCCTCCCATGACCTGGGTCAAATTGTTGATAGCCGTCGCTTTAGGCGCATACCAATTAAGATCCACAGACGCGTTCCGACCACTCTGCACAATTCCACCAGCAAGAGCTGCGAGGAACCCCGTTTGGGTTTCGGAATACATACTGGACGTTTCTCCTCTAAGAAATAGGAAGAGGAATATGATGCCGACGATAGGAATGAGCTTGAGAGTCCAATGGCCACCCAAAAATGGTGACTGTCGCCGTGGGGTATCCATCCATATTTATTCCGGCTGGTACCTGAGCTCGAAAGCCCTCGCAATTCAAGCACCCACGTGGGTGGTTGTTCACGTTTTCGGAAGGACCGACGGGATTCGATGGTTGTACAGTCCAACCTAACCTGCATTCATAGAGTGGGGTGAGGCTGATATGGAAAGGGGTTAACGATCTCTGATATGCTATCATAAGTGATAGAATGGCTTGAAACTACATTCAATCAATTCGGAAAATCCGTGTGCTGATTTTCCAACTCTCAAATTGTGATCAATGGAGAGAGGTTCTCGTCTTTTCTGTCCCCACTTGCCGAGACGTAGCCAATCAGAGGCGACCGGGCCATGCTTAAAATAACCTCATCTTACAGCGCAACGCTACAAGAGTTCATCGACGACTTCGTATTGTATGATCCGATTGGGCCAAAGAATATTTCTCTCGTGTATCCTAATGAATTGAAATCAAGTGATCATAATTTCGAGCAAAAAGCTAATTCATGCGTCCCTCACTCCCACCAGCAAATTCCATGGCTCTGAACGTCGATTTGCACAAATGTTATCAGGTCAGAAGTCATCGGGAACAGGAGAGCAGGAGGGATAATTAAATACCCTTTATCTCGAGCTCGGGATTTTTGCGTGACATCATCTGGTTAAAATCTTTCAACAACTCCTCCACCGACAATTCTCACATTCCAGCGACCAATCCGACGTCAAATATAAAATTCACCAGTCGCAGGGCAAAAGCCAGCTCAAAATGGAGTTCCATAATCCCAACCCTTATTACAATTCTACGTATTTTCCCTAAAGCAACCTACTCACAATTTTCCCTAGCCTCTTGGGCAAAAAGACTCATGAACAGGTTGTTCCTCACGTCATCGAACTAAATTAACAAGTTCCTCGTCAAAAAAGGGGCTAAGCGAGTCCACCTCCCAACTGTCAAAATACCAAACCTCTAGCTTTCAAGTTAGCCACCATTAGTACCCCAAGCGATTAAAATTTATCTTCAAGCAGTTACGCTATATAAGAAATAAAAATGGGCGAACCCAATCTAGCACACAAGTGCACGCTTAAATATCTCCCCATCTCCCTTCCATTCAACTTTCTTTCTTCCTCCTCTTTCTGAAAACTCATCACAAACTCCAAACCACAAAATACGTATTACCAAAAAACACCAAACACCCAAACCCAAAAATCAAAAATGCCCGCCTTCAAAACCCTCCTCATCCTCACCCTCGCGGCCCTCTCAACAGCCACACCCCTCTACCTGCCCATCCCAAAAAACACCACATTCGCCGAAGCCCTCGCCATCGAAAAAGCCTCCCTCCCACACCTAACCCTCACCACCATCCCCTCCACACCCCTCTCAACCCCAACACCCCCTCCTGTCCACGAAGAACACTTCAGCTTCCCAGTTATGCCACTCTCTCACCACACACCCCGCGGGCCAATCGCCGACTCGCTCCCACAAAAAACCCTCTCCTCACTCGCCCTCCTCTCCACACGGATCAAGGCCCTCACCTCCTCCGTAAAAGACTACGATTCCTCCGCACCACAATCAGCATACGCCATCGAAACCGCGCTGCAATCGCTCCACCACGCATCGCTACAAACCAACGACGACGCGCTGCTCCTCGCGCCTTTGTCGGAGGAAGATTCGACGAAGATGGTCGGGTATATAAGGGATAATATCGTGGTGGATGTCATGGAGAGCGTCAAGGCGATGAAGGAGAAGGAGGAGGACTTCAAGAAGGCGAAGTTGCATAAGATTGTGGTGGTGGTGTTGAAGAGTTTGAGGGAGGATTATGATAGGCCTAGTATGGTCTTGGCGAAGAAGATTCAGAAGCGCGATTTGGGGGCGGCGAGGGAGTTATTGAAGAGTGTTGATGAGGCGATTGAGGAGGGGATTAAGGGGTTTGAGGAAGATTGAGAGTTCGATGATCAACCTCTTTTGTCTTTACATTTGTTTTTAGGTTAGGTTTTTCTTGTTCTTAGGATTATGGGCTTGGGATTTAGAACTGAACTGGAACGGTTTCTTTCTTTACCTTGAAAATTGGTATATTATGTGCTAAGATAACACTCCAAACTTCCTAATCCTTCAATGACATTAATTAAATCATAACTCCCACCAGTATTGTCTGAGTTCAAAAACCGTGACTAGAAGTGCTTTCCTAGCATAGCTAGCTATAATCACCAAAATTAGGAGACGGTCCCCTTCCGATTCCTTGCCATTGTTCCCCGACGTATGTTGCAGTATATTCGGTGGTTGGGTGACACAAAAATCATACTCGCTGTAATCCGACTTTCTTACTCTCAACCTTGATCACTGTCAGTATATCATACCAATGTACTTCTGCGAGCAGAATATTTACATCAAAAGCAACCTGCACGTCCCTGAAGAAGGGTTCTCCAAGAATCCACACATCGCCCAATCCGCTCACCTTCTCAACACCTCCATGACGATGATCTCTGATATCTGAGGGTTGTAATCCCATTCTAGATTCCACGATCATACCAATACAATACCCACTTCCCTCAGCCATTCTCCCCAAGCTAAACCTTCCACCTGGGGCGAAGGTTTCTTTGTTTCTGCCCTTCAGAACTTCTACACCCCAGCCGGCGAAATCAAGATGTAGTTGTGGGGGTTTCAGACAGGGATAAGCGTGAAACTGGTCGTATGGAGGAGGGAGCCTTTTTGCTTGAGTTTTGGCGTATAAGGTTCGAGCGGCCATTGGCGGTGCGAGAATGAAAGGGGTGTTTATCTATTTGTCAGGTAAGTGACTGAGTCGCTTGAAGGCGTAGAGTGTTCCCTACATCTAGAACAGCAGGTTGGTTGAATACGTTCTTAACACCATCCACCCAAACCCCATGCATTTGGATCTGCCAGAACCCATCAATTCCTCGAACTTGCATCCACTTCCAATCACGATCAGGATCACCTGCCATTGAAGGATCGTATATTGCCGCCCTGTCTTCAAGATGCTCTTCTCGTTTGAGTTCTTCGTGGCCTCCTTGGTTTTGACTAGCGAGCAGATCCTGTGTTTCTTTCTCGACTTTTCGGATAGAGGCCAACGGTGTACCTCCTAGACTAAAAAGTCCGTCTTGCCCATTCAAGAGTACCAATGACCACATTTGGGTGTCGAGTATGCCCTTCTCAATAAGCTGAGAAAGCAATGATGTCGTGTTTAATTGACTCAGTGATGCTGCGGGGGCAAGGCCAAGATAAGCTCCTGATGGAAGCAAGGCCTGGATCCATTGTTTGGAAGGTCTGCAATGAGCGAAAGAGACCGGAATCATCCTTTCAATCGTGTTCAGATGAAGAATATCAGTGGGTTGACGACAAGTAGGAAATGGGAGAGGCTGTTCCGAATCCTCTTTGAAATTCCGTTAGCAACCTTTCTCCTCCCAATTAGGTTGAGCACGGAAGACTTACTGTAAGTCTTGCTCATGAAGTCCATAAAGAAACTTCCCAAACTACTCTGCGTACTCTTAACATAAAAATCCTTCGTCAACATATCAAGATCCATCTGCACCCTCTGAGCGGGTTCTCCCAGCTCCAAAGTTGCAAACCAATTCCCCTCCCTTCCAACCTCACCAAGAAGCACGGTGCTAGCTTGAGTTCCATGTAAATGTCTTGGCTTCCGGACGACCGTGTTCCCTTCGAAGGCTCGTGTGGTAGCTGCAAAACGTCCTTCAATCTTTTGGAGTTCTTCAAGGAGACTAGTGAGGTTTGCGACACCTGGAATATGGAAGCTGCCTCCTCGACGCGAGATGGTGTAGTGGATAGGGGAGAGGTGCGCGGCTATGGTGCAGGCGAAAAGCAGTTGGAATAGCAAGAAGCTGACCAACATTTTGAGGACCAAGGTGGCTCTTAATGAAAGGCGAGGATATGGAGAAGTGAAGAAAGGAAACCCATAAAACCGCTCTTCTTACTTCATCAAATGCAAGAACTAAGTCGTAACTTCCCTAGATCATATAGGCTTGAATTGACACCTGAATATTGAAAGGGGCGCCTTCCCCGAGATAACCTGGAATGCATGGACTCCTAGACACGGACTCCTAGATTGCCTTGATTCTTCTAAAGCGTCAAAACAAGCGCAAATGACTCCAAACAAAGTTACAAACAAACGAGGTATCTAGCTATAGCAGTGTCCATCCAACCAAGGGCGCCTTGTAGACATGAAAAAAAAATCCCCCAAAGAAAAAAGAGAGAAATGAAAACATCAATTAAAGTGTATTACTGTCATTGCATTTCTTTTGACCATCAAGGCTCGACCCACCTGGTTCCATTGAATGACTTCGCATATGGTGCAGCCCACCCACAGCCGCATTAAATATCAGCGTTTCACTTCGCCAAGTACACAGGTCCCATATCTCTTTCATGCCCAGCAAATATTTCACCTGAGCCCTCAATAAACAAAGAAGAATCCAAGTGGAACCGTAGATATAGACGAGAATAAAAAGGGGTATTATACACGAGAAGGCATGCAATTTGACAATATCATCATTCGTAATGTCACAACTTTTCTACTCATCATCTTTTGACGACGGTATTCAGGCAATCCAGGACCTAGATGACGTTAGCGTAATTGTGGAATCGAATGCGACAGTACTTACGCCTTCTGCAATCACACCTTGATTTACAAGATGCTTGCTAATTCCCTTCACAAGTTCCACCTGCTCCTCTGGAGTAAGTCCAGTGATAGCAGTCTCAATGACCCCGCCAAGAGATACATTGTAGACTGCAATGAAACTGTGATAATACATATACGCAAAGAAACCCATAATGAATTGGCAATCCATACGATCAGTGATTCCACCATGACCAGGAATGGAATCGCCGAAGTCCTTGATCTTGAAAGTACGCTTAAGACCAGAGGCAAAGAAACCTCCGAATGGAGCAATCAAAGAGGCAAAAGTAGCGAAAAGAAGGATATGAATTTGCAGGGGTGCCATCATGAAGCTCTTGAAGAAAGGAAACCAGATGGGAAGATTATAAACGTGTGGGACGAATACTGGATTTGGTACGCACTCGAGTCCGGTAAAGATGTTTGCACCAAGATCCTGTTGATATTAGTGGATGTTACTCGACCATATTGAAGTTTCTTACATTTACAGGGCAGATGAAATACTTGTACCGCATGAGAACGTTGGTCATTCCAACGCCGAGAATGACGGTAAAGAGCCAAGCACCGAGAAACCCTTCCACGGTTTTTTTGGGAGAAAGTTTGATAAGTTGAGTTCTCCCGACGGTGATACCAACCAGGTAGGCAAATATATCGTTGCAAATCACGAGAGAAACTGGTAGGAAAAACCAGATCATGCCCTCAAAGACATTGTTCATAATGAAATGAGCCTGTACCACAATCAAGTACAGAGCCATGTGAGTCCATGCGAATTGTGTGAACTGGAAACGGTAGTGGCCCGCCTGAAGAGATGTGACGAAGAATACAAAGCCTGAGATTTTAATTAGCCACGTTTTGAGCGCCTTTCCCCTAAAAGCTTACCGATGACATAGAGCATGAAGCTTATGAATCTATGATGGGTTGCAAAGGGCAAGAGGACTTTATCAACCAACACAATGTGTTTGAAGTAGTAAATGACGCTTTCACCATAAAGAAAGTACATAGTAGTAGCTAGCCAGTACCAGTTCAGTGATTTTGTAAATCTCAACCGGCGCGCCCGACTGGGCACGTTGGCAATTGCAATGACTTCTTTGAATGAGACGATTTGAACACCGGTCACGATGATGATAATGTAGATGTGTCCCATGAACATGGCGCCAAAGAAGGCGCCAATCATTACAAACGTCCATATCGATCGCGTTACAAAGGTCTGCTTCTTCTTTTCGTATTCGGAAATCGGCGCATCTTGGATCTTTGGTAAACGAGTTAGCCAGAGCTCTTCTTGCAAGCACACTCGAGTGGATAAATTCTTACCTCCGTCGCAACATCACTCCCGTGGCCCGGTTTGGCTGGCGATCCAGGCTCTGATGCTGCCTCACTAATGTCCGAGAAACTGCTCCTTCGTCCATCTATACCTGAACTTTGCCCATTCCGATGGTTGAACTTGATTCCTCTGCGCGGTGCCATCTTGAGGTCGATGCCGCAGGAAAAAGTTTTCGATACCCCTTCCTTTCGGGCGCAGTTCTCTTTCTTGGGAGGGCGCCGAGTCGTTGGGAGGCCTGCGGATGCGACTACGATGTTGTTCGTCGCATCAAAAAGCCGCAGCCAACCCCTTGGATCTGTATAAAGGAGGAACGGGGGAGTTGACGGATGTGGATGTGTTGGTCGAAAATCGGGTTGTTTCCGCGGGCAGAGTGGTTGTGGTAGTCGGTGATGTTTCTTGGTGGCTCTTCTTTCCGCTGACGTATCCCCAAACTGGGTTGCCTGGACCAATTTCTTCTTGGTGGGTCTTTTGCGTGTGGGCTTGGTGTGTGCGGTGCTGAGTGCAGTGTGCACTGAAGCTGGAGAGAGCTGGGCTTTGGTTGGGCTGGGGTAAGATTTGCTTGTCAGCACACGAAGCTTGTGAAAACCGTACAGGGGACGTGAGTCGGGTACATCCAGACGGGTGGTGGCAGTGGTGGCAGTGGTGGCTTGTTGAGAAGCAAACACCGGTTACACTGATATCAAGCTTTGCCTATGAGCAGTATCTGTATGGAGTAGCTGCAGATACTTTCCCACTATATGCACCCTCAAAGCTCTACCAGATTTCCGAGAAGTTTCTGCCAGTATCTAGGTAGTCCATCTACAGTATATTTTGTTGTTGTTTGAAGTCCGGAGACTCTCCGCCGCAGCAAATTCCGGTCCGTTAACACTCCCGAAGCCGACGGATCGGCGAGTCCATCGGCAGAAAGCCGACGCGTTACTTGGTGCACGCCCAGGTGTTTTGGTAGTCGCAGATTCAACAATGACACCCGCAATGACTCCCTGTACCTATCTTGCACAACTCCCTTTGCTCAATGACGACCTCCAAGGATGGCGGGGCTCGACGAAGAAGACTATTTCTCAGACGATGTTGACGTCCTCAATGGCCTGGGCAATGACTACCTGACCGAGCTCGAGAATAATGCCATACAGTTTACCCAAGCACAAGCCCGGACGAAGGTAGCTCCTTCGTCGGATTATGGCGACGGAATTGACGATGAGGACTTTGATGATGCCGTAGTGATTGATGAATCTAGAAGTATACCTGCTATTACTTCTGCTCTGCAAAGAAACGTCCCTGGCCAATCTTCCGAGAGAGGGCATTTTCGTCAGTTTCGGCAGCAACATGATGGCCTGGGAACTATCAGCAATCCTCGTGCCCAATTGGCAGATCGTCAGCTAGCCAATATACCACCTGCGCCTCAATTTGACCACTCAAGGCAGATTCCAAATCGAGTTGTAGTCGCTCAACATGATTCCATGCTGGCCGAACAGGGCAGCCAGCCGTCCTTCCCGGATGAAGGGATTGAGCTAATGCAGAAGCAAATCCAAGAGGTAGAACTCCCCACGGCTACCATTAACGTACGCTAAATACTCTAAAGCTGATGAGAGAACGAGACTCTCTGAAAAGAGACTTGAATGCGAAGTCCGGCGAGATAGCGATTGTGCGAAGTAAACAGGAAAAAACAGTCAAGCAATACGAACGTGAAATGATAGCTCTACGGAAGCTAAACGAAGACAGAATATCCAAACAAGAAAAAGAGCTTGAGGCTGCCAAAATTGCGGAGAGGAATGCTGCAACGGAACGAGAATTCCTACGGCAAGAGGTAGCAGAAGAATCCGAAAAAGTGCGCCGGTTAAACAGGACAAAAGCAAAGGAGAAGATTGGGGCTTCTGTAACAACCCCGAAGAAAAAGGCACTGCCTCACAGGGATGGGTTTGATGACGACGAGATTGATGCGGGCTCGCCCTCGAGAACGTCTCCTTCGAAGTTTCGAAATCGTTTACTCGGGTCTCCCTCGAAGCCAAGTGGAGGAAAAAGGAAAAGGAAGAATTTTGAGAGTCCCATTGCTGCTCTTGAAGTGCATCAAGCAGACGAGCAAGGCCCACAAAGGGAAGACAGCAATGAAATGATTTTGGACGAGGTTTTGATTGACGGTCTTAGCCGCCCAGACGATCGCTTTGATGTGAGCCGTCTCAATCCCGCGTAAACAAATCTACGAATAACGCTGATAGCGATAACAGTTCCTCGGAACCATGTTGGATCATCAGATTGATTTTCTTCACCTTCGCTCGATTCAGGAATTGGACAAGTATTCTCTTCCTTCAGCATCTAAGGAATCATTCCAGTCTGTAATCCTCGGCAAAATCCCCATGCTTGGGCTTAAAAAGTCTCAGAAGGATCTTCCGGTTGACTTTTGCGAGCTTTTGATCTCCATGTGGGCAAAATGTATGGAAGAAAAATATGTATGTGGGACCTTGTTAGCTTGGTCTTAAGGTGCTAACATATGATACAGCTCGCGCCAATCCACATTTTTATAGATATGCTTACCACGGCCCTTGAACTTAAGACCACATCTATAGCAACTGCTATCACTGATTCCATCGTTCCGCTCATTCAGCTTACCGCAGACCTTGTGGTCATTCCAAGATGGAAAGGCCACTCTGCCGAGCAACACGAAAAATATGTTGACGTTTCAGCGTGTTTGGCACTTCTTCATATTACTGCACTTGGGTGTATGTCGGAGCAAGATCATATTGTCCGATTTTGGAAGTTGATGCGCTTTGATTTTGTTCTTGTTATGCTTAGTCCAACGCATCCAACTCCTGATTTCGAAATGATGTTACGTCTACTTTCTACAAGCGTGTTCAAGGAAAGTTTTGGTGCAATTGTTGCAGAGGCAAGTCAAGCTTCTCAAGTTATGGACAATATTCTCGATCGGCTTACATACACTCTGTTTGACGTCCCTCCGTTACCTCATACATCTGAGAAAATGGCAATTGATGTTCTTTCGAAGCTTCGTGTGAAGGTTCTGCTTCTACTAACCAGTATGACTCGGTCCCCATTTGCAAGCAGAGCCATGGCCATGCATCCACATGCCATTGGGAGACTTGTTAGTCTGATTAACGATGAAGTCGATGATTTGTACGATTATAAAGCTCGCCATGAAGAGAGGTACGGCTCAATTTTTTGCTTGATAATTCAGGTACTAACATCCAAAATAGTTCCCGAACAATAAGTTTAGCAACACGTCTATTATATTTCCTCATCACCAAATTTGATGCCGAAATTGACATACAGAAAAAACTAGCCGTTATCCGGGGCGGCTCACAGAAGTACCTCCTCACCCTATCGCGGTTGAATTTCTCCGAGGATGACCTGCTGTTGGAATCTGGGATTGATTCTGATGTTGCGTCCTGTGCTTTAGAATTATTGGAGTTGGTCGTAACACCAGAGGAAGGGGAGGCTATCCACCTGGCATTTTCTACAAATTCGTAAATGTGTTTTGTATGTGGGAATTGTATATTAGTGGACGGGTAGTATTTATGGATGGCGTTTGTCTTTAACCGTTCTTACGCATGCGATGGGAGTTTTGAAATTGGGTTTTGCATTTTATGGAACTCACGCCGGTATTGTGATGAAGGATTTTGGGCATACTGAGATGGGATTATGTACCTACAAATGGGGTCTGGGATGAATATAAAACTCGTCACATGATACGCCAATTCGGACAGGATTTATTGTCCTGTACCAATGAGGGTTCTGAATCACGGATCTTCAATTATCGATACTTGATCTACAATTCCTCGGACCTTCGGTAATGGCATTCTGAGAAGAACGTGGGAAATAAACTTTGCTGGGCACGAGGTTCAGATGAACCTTGGCGTTTTACCTCTACAGAGAAGAACTGCATATGAGAAGATAATATACTAAAATCAGACCAAACCAACAAAAAGGGACATTTGCCGTAACCATAACCCCTGTATTAATGAGCGTCGCATAGGAGCAATGCATGAAGATGGTAATTGTGGGGAATCTTGAGTTCCTCACTGCTAATTTGAGTCGGATGATAGTCGGTTCTTCTCCTACGTTGTCCCTTGGGAGTATCAAAATTAACCAAGCTGTTTCAGGGAAGCTCGATGTCCGAAAAAGACGGATAATTACAGCATGGAGATGTAATACTTAAGTGAACGGTCACCCACGTTCTGCATGATGTTATTATATATGTAATTGTTATCCTGCATTATCACTCTTTTTCTGTTATACTCTCCCTCTCTTTGATTATCCTTTCATACATCCATCATGAAGGCTGTTATTAAGGCCACCGCTTTTGCTCTGTTTATTACTGGGGTCCCATCATTAAGAACTGGAGCCGAATTCCAAATAGATGCGGACACGGATGTCGGATTCGAGAGTTTTGTTAAAGAGTAAGCTCGTCCTGTCAAAAGTCCACATTAGCATCGACAGTAGCTAATACTCTCCAGATTCTACATATCTCTGGAAAATACAAACTCAACAGCAGACTTCACCGATCACTTCGTCAAGGACACCGGGGTAATGGTCGTCAACGGCAAAGAAAGCAAGGGCTTCGCCGCGATCCTCGCCGCCAAACAAAGCTTCACAAACAAAGGCAAGACCACCAACCACTTGCTGCGCTCTGCCAACACGCTCGGGAAGCAAGAAAAGAATGAAACTTTCGTCGTCGATTTCATACTGCAGACTACCACGCAGCCTGGAAACGCATGTACCGAGACAACTGGCCGGGGACAGTTCACTTTGACGACGGGCGCTACTTCGCAGATTGAACTTTCGCCTCACACAAACTTTTTGGCGAGGTATCAGGTCGATATTGCGGATTCGAAGAAGACTTGTTCTGTGCAGGAGGAGGCACCACCACTGGATCCTAGTGTGGCAAGTGGAGGAGTAGGGGTAATATCTTAATGCTTCGGCAGGGTGAGGAAGGAGAATAAGAAGAGGGTAGAAATTTTGAGAGAGAGGAGGCTGGCCCTTGTGGAGAAGGGAGGGAAGCGCTCCTTCTGACGATAGGCCTAGGAGTCGGTTTGGTTGGATTTAGGATATATCGAATTTTATTATTGTTGTGCAACTTATACCCTGTCTAAGAAATTTGGGGTCAGTGGTGAGTTCTTTTACAGTAATTCAAATGAGTCCATAGTAAAGGGGGTGGACAGTCAATGCTGAACACTGTTACGTAGATTGTAATTAAACCTACTATAGGAGGGGCCTTTTTAATAACTTTATACAATTTCTAGGACAACTCTCGCTTAGTAAGTAGTTTATCTACGCGTTCTATTAGTCTAAAGAAGTAGATCTAGTTAGTATAGTAATAATAAAAGACTAAATATAAAAATAATCTAATGAAGGACTAAAATAACCCCTCTTTTCTACCTAGTACCGAATATACCCCCTATTTACGTCTATAACTACTTATATTCGTACTAGTATAGTAAGAATTAGGTAATTAATTTCGTCTTAATTAAAAACATCTTACTCCTTAAGGGAAATAGTAATTAGATTATCTTAGTTTTACTTCTTAATCCTTAGTCTTTAGTATACGCGGTTCTTTAATATACTCTTTATATACTCTATAGGGTTTAGGTTAGGAGAATAAGCTAGCTAATTAAAGAGTGTTATTCTATTCTCCTTAGACTACTCCTTTACTACTTTAGCTATATAAATATAAGCGTTATCCTACTAATAATAAACGATAAAGCCTCCTTCTTTATTGCCTTCTCGTTTCTTAACCGACTTCTAAAAGTCTCTAAAAACAAGTAAAACATAGTTGTAATAGGAGTAGGAGTCTATATTACCTTAGTATTACCTATTTTAGCTTAGTTATAGATAATAAGCTTTAATTTTAAGCTATATATAATAGCCCCTTATACTATAGTACCTTTTAGCTTAGTAAGCTTAGGTATAAGATATTCCTATAAAAACTCCTCCCCTACCTGTCACGAATCACGTGCACACGTGACAAGTGAAGACCAGGCGGCGTCCTGACAGGTCAAGCACCATCGGACACTCTTATAGCAAGTGGGATCGATTAGGCTAGCTAAGCGATCCAGGGATTTTCTTTGGTTAGTATCACGTGACAAAGTTGGGTCGCCTGGAGCGACGAGCGCTCCAGTCGTCTGGGTCGACTCGGTAGACAAGCGACCCCGGCGATCCAACAGTTAGAACAGAGAACAGAGGTTTTATATAAGACTGGCACGTCTGCCATTAGATAGGAGCTTCGTGCTCAACTTAGTTATCAATCTTATCATATTAGTTTGACATCTTTGATACAAGTAACGAGTTCACTTCCAAGTGAACAACCCGATAGTCTTCTTCTTATCATAGCATACCAACCAGCGAACACCCAGCCAAGTTTAGTTAGCCAGTTTGAGTATTCGTACACTACCTCACGCGTAATATAGAAAGTAGTATCCCTATTTTATATAGCCAATTTATCTAAAAAGATAACCCGCTTCTACTATTCTAGCTAATTATAATACGCTAAAGTAAAGACTAAGCAAGTAGTTATATAAGTAATAGTAAGAAATAGCTTCTTTTATACTATATATCGTTTATATCCGTTACTTCTTAGAATTCTACGTATAGTACGTTCTAATATATTAATATCTAAATACTTAGATATTTCTTTAAAAAACATACGCCTCGCTAGTATTTGTGACGATTTTGATTTGTGTATAGTGAATGTGGTTTTAGTCACGTGAGCCACGAGGCGACGAGCTCAACTTCAAATAGCTTCAGGTCCTGGGACCTCTTTCGCTCCTCGTAGTCAATTTAATCTATCAACCTGTACTGTCCTAGACGTGCATTCTCACAGTATTCCCCTTATAGTAATAAACTCTAAAAGCTTTAACTTAATAAGTATATTATTATAGCTGTTTAAGTTACGTAAGCGTCTTAGTATAAATAGATTAGTTATAATATAGTAAATAGTAGACTAACTAAGGCTAAGAATACGTCTAATTTACTAGTAACTTATATTTACTAGCTTATAAAGAGTAATGTGACGAAACTCAAACTATCTGACAAAGGTAATCGTTTCGACGGTTGGTATGCGGGTAAGGAGTACAGATGCGCCGGGTTGTTTACTCGGAGGTAAACTCGTCACTTGTTAACAAAGAAGTAATAACTTAATAACTAGATTGCTAAACTAATTTGAGCATGAAGCTCCTATCTAATGGCAGAGGTGCCAGTCATATATAGAACCTTCGTTCTTCTGGAGCTTGGAGGGAGCCCAAGATCCTCAAGCTCCAACCGAAGCTCCTGCAAGCTCCAACGGTCAAGTGACCATGTCATGTGATACTAACCAAGAGAAATCCCTGGATCGCTTAGCCAGTCTAAACGATCCCATTTGCTATAAGAGTATTCAATAGTGCTTGACCTGTCAGGACGCCGCCTGGTCTTTCACTTGTCACGTGAGCACGTGATTCGTGACAAGTAATAGCTTAAATACAAGTCTTTCTATTAACTCTTTTAGCCTTTTAGTAGCTAAAAGAACTAGTAGGAAGTAATAAGTCCTTAACTATAATTAGCCGAGCAGGGGTATTACTAAAGGGTAGAAGCGAGTTAAGGACTTTAAGTAGAATAGAGGGTACGAGTATAAGCGAGCGAACCGGTTAGCTCTAGTTATCTATTATATTAAAGAAGCTAGATTTACTAGATAAAACTAATAAGAATAATTAGCTAGCCTTTATTTTAGATAGGAGTTAGCCAGGAGTAGAGGGCTTAATTACTAGCTAATAAGCGGAAGGCCTAGTGTGACGATTTTGATTTGTGTATAGTGAATGTGGTTTTAGTCACGTGAGCCACGAGGCGACGAGCTCAACTTCAAATAGCTTCAGGTCCTGGGACCTCTTTCGCTCCTCGTAGTCAATTTAATCTATCAACCTGTACTGTCCTAGACGTGCATTCTCACATATTGACTACCAACAACACACTACGAACCCCTGAACCTCCACGACTCACGAACCTCCACGACTCACGAACCTCCAGTGCGCTCAGCGGGCTCTCAGATACCTATCGAAATCCTCACG